TGCATACATGCATACATACATACATACTGTACATACTGTACATACATACTGTACATACTGTACATACATGCATGCATGCATGCATGCATACTGGCAGCTAAAGGTTGCAACTTGTTTTACTGAGCTAGTCTATCTCATGTGCAGTCTTCTTTTTTTCTTCCTTCCTTCAGCTTTTTCTAACATTATTGTAATTTCATGGTGTATGTTCACACTACAATGGCCTCGTTGCAGCTTCTAGGGAAAGTTTATGCTTAGTTTGATTTAGAACCCATTTATTTTTCCTTCTGCAGGTCCATGGCATCCTTAAAACTTTCCTCAAACACTGCATTGCTAACAAGTTGATTTTCCCCCCCTCTGTCAGTTTTCTTCTGCTCAGCTTTCAGTTCCGTACAGTTTTCTTCTGCTCAGCTTTCAGTTCAGAATGTCATAGTACAGATCAACTTGGCTTTGTCTAGCCTCCCATTAACTGATACTATATCTTTATCTCTTTCCCATCACACAGATAGATCTCAAGACATGCAGTCACCAGCCACAGAGGTACCTCCTCAAGCACCCCAGAGTCCAGAGCTGAAAGATACCTCCTAACCATTTCTCCTGAAGGCATGCAAAGCCTATCTGAAAATGAAAGACTACCTAATATCAGAAGACGTTTGCCTGGAGTTCTCTGGGATTACATGACCACACTTGTCTTACAAACTTTGGTGTGAAGGAGAGAGAGAGAGAGAGAGATTGAGAGACTGAGAGAGAGATTGAGAGAGAGATTGCAAGAGAGAGACAGAGATGGAGGAAATGTGCAGCCATGTGTTTTATGAAGATGAAAGGGGCTGGGACCTTGAAGGACCATTTCTTCTTAGGGAGGGTGCTTGAAGAAGTGAACAGAGAAGTGGGGAGGGTCAGAGGGTTTCTCTGTTTTCACACCTCTGCTGCAGAGCAGCATTGGGTTGGAGAGCGCAGGAAACGGCCTTATTCCAGGTCAGAATTATGGTCCTTCTAGCTATATTTTGCCTACCTTGAATGGCAGCAGCATTTTCCCAGGGTTTCAGATCCTGGAACATCTGAGATTGGAGCGTGAGATCCTGAGAGCACAACACACAAGTCTTGGCACCCTTCCATAAACTGTCCACCTCCTGTCATGGAGAGAGGATCATACAGGTCATTCAAGAATCTGTGGGGGTGCGGTTTTTCTTTTTCTTTTTGTAACAAAGTGTGTTCTTCACTGTGATGTCGGGGTGGGTGGGTGGGTGGGTGGGAGAATGATATTTCCTTGTTTGCCAGTTGTTGTCTGTTTGGTTGGTTGTTTGGTTCATCAGCAGATCGAGTCTCCTTCTTCACAAAACTTTTAGAGACAAAAGTTGCAAATGCGATGGCAGCTATTTGGCTTGTCCTTCATCCCAGCTGATCCCTGAGAAGGCAATTTTTTCAGAAGTTATTGCCTCGTGTCATTTGAAAATTAATGTGGCTTGTGGAATAAAACGACCCTCATCTCCCAAAAAGGAAGTCAGTGTGACAGTTATTACCTAAGATGCTTGCCATGGCCTCACCAAGTTGGTATTCACAAGGAAGTCAGTATACAATGCCTCTGATTTATTGTGGTACAATATTAATGAAGGCTGGGGTGTGCGTCACATTTTAGTCCTCATTGTTGTGAAGTTATATTTAAATAGGGGGGGGGAGAGAGCACAGGCTTCTGCGGTTTAGCCCACAGTGCCACCACGTCCCTCAAGACAGACATATAACCACACATGTACTGTATTTTCTCTTCCGTAATATAAACGTGGGCATACAGAGAAAACCCAGAGTGGAGAATCATGTTGGTGTTTGCACAAGGGCTGCAGCACCTGCCACGGCTAATTGGCAAGATGACGGGATGTGTCTCCATCACATGCCCAGTTGCACAACCAGGATGTGCCTCAGCACCTCATAAATTAACCACAAATAGCCAGGCAAATTACACAAACCTTATGTGAAACACGAACAAGATTGTGCTCCACAGGTGTGAAGGTTTCCAATAAACTACTGCAATTGCATGAGACAGATTCAGAAAGGTTTCCAAGTAATCAAAAAGAAATATACATAAACATTATTTTAAAAGCACAGAGTCTACACAATTCTGAGTGTATTACATCTCTGAAAATTATATTGTCAGTCCTGAAATGATTGGTACTTTTTAACACCAGCCAAGCCACTTATCTTTGCATCAGATGGCACTTAACAATGGCTTGAACAGAAGTCGATGGGAATTCAAACAAAGCTTGAAAAGCCAAGGTTTATTTCTGATGTTTCAAATCTCAGTTGTCCTCCCCACATCCCCTACATTGAACGGATCCTGATGGGCTTTCATGTGCTCATACACCCATTGCAAAAACTCAATCAGATGCAGAGCTAATCTTATTTAAAGGCAACCCGCATTAGAGTTATACTTAACATGCCCCATTGTTTTCAGTGGCTTTGCACTAAAGGTGACATCTGGGTTAGGAGCATCAACATTTTTCAGTCTTGGCTGTCGTGTTTTCTAGATCCCTGCTGCATTGTTGTCCCATCCTTGCTTTGTGTCAAGTTCTCCTGACAAGAAAAATGGTGCTATTTTTGGTCACATTTTAAAATTCGCCTACATTGTGTTGCATACTTTTAATGAATACCATTTTGTGTATGATTTGGTGTGCTATTCATGCTTTTTTAATGTATTCTTGGCTATCTCCAAAATGTACATGAACCTCATAAACTGTCATCATCATCATCTTAGAACCCCAGAGCAGGAAAGGACTCTATGGATCCATCATCTATGTGATTTTCTAGAGCAAGGTATACTTTATTTATTTATTTATATTTATTTACAATATTTTTTAGCCGCACCATTACCAGTGGCTTCTGGGCGGTGTACAACATTAAAACTTAAAAACATTAAAAACATTTTTAAAGACAATATAAAATGTCATATATTAAAACAATTTTTAATATAAAATTAAATACTGGGCCTTGGAAGTTGGAAAATGGATGATCTTATTCTCAACAAAAATTCTTTTCCATTACTAGTATGGCTGTAACCCAAACTATTGGTTTCCTTTCACATTTGGGGTGGCCCACTGGTGGCCTTCCAGACGTTTTTGGACCACAACTTCTATCAGCCGTAGGCAATAGAACCAATGGGGAGGAGATGCTGGGAAATGCAGTCCAACCACAGCTGGAGGGACAGATCCACCCATGTTTTAGGGCAGACCTTGAGATCACGAGGTTGCATTAACTGTTTAGAGATGGAGCAGACCTCGTGGAAGGGACAGAGGGAATAGTTTGCCCCAGTTTGTTATAGAGCTATAGAGTGCCTGCATCTGTTGAGGATTTGTTCATGCTACGGCTACTCATTCTGTCACCACAATTCTCCCAGCAGTCTGGATTTACCACCTCTGTCTAATTTTGGTACTTCTTTTCTTTTTACTGAGGCTCCTGAAGACAAAATTGAATATGATTTAGAAGATCTGGGTTTAAGCCTCCATACTGTTTTACAGTACTTGCAAGGAGCTGGAGCAAGGGAGTTGCACATGTAAAAGAAGCAGTAAATGGGCTAAGGTTGAACCTGGAAAAGATGGAGGTCCTGCAGGTGGGTGGCCCCGATGTCAGTGGTTTGGGGAACTCCCTCTCTTTTGGGGGCTGACTCTCACAAAAAAATAATTCAGTTCACTATCTTGGGGTCCATCTTGACCCAGTGCTTACCATGGAGACCCAGGTAGCATCCGTGGTTCAATCTGCCCATTTACATCTTTGGCGGATCGTCCAGCTGCATCCCTATCTAGATGCAGTGGTGCTCACCATGCTGGTCCATGTGCTCGTAGTCTCAAGAATAGACTACTGTAACACTCTCCATGTGGGGCTTCCTTTGAGACTGATGCCGAAGCTCCAGACAGTCCAGCTGTTCTCAAGGACAGCTTCCAGCACTGCAAGACAAAATATGCATCAATTCCATCTCTCTCTCCTTAATGCATTTCCTATGGTGAGCAAGCAAACAAGAAAGATGTAGTGATGGAAATGCAAATACAGATGTCACCAGGCAATGGTAACATCTGGATCCCCTCCCCCCCCTTAAAATTCCACATCTCGGGCAGAGGGATTGCAAAGACTCTCTCGGAAGCAGTCTGGGGCCATTGCACTGGGGAAGCAAGGCTATTTTATATGTTATGGCATTACTGCCATCACCACAGACAGTTAGCCCAGTTAAGGTGTTGGACTGGGATTTGGGAGACCCCAGCTCAAATCCCCATTGGATTATCTTGAACCAACCACAGTCTCTCTGTCTGACCCACAGTATCTCATAAGATTACTGTAAGGATAAAGTGAGGAGGAAGAGAGGCATGTATGCCTTAATTAGAAAGGTGGGATAAAATGCATGAAATAAATAATATTCCTGCTTAAACATGATTAATGCTTGTGTGACAGGCAAGGGCTCCTCACATTGGCTGATCTGGCCTCAGTGACTTTAATGTCTCCCAAAAACACCTGCATTTGTGAGTTGGGGAAGGCTGTGCTTGGAAAATTACACATTTTTCCTAGCAGTTCCTCAGATTCCTGAGCCAGGCCACCTGGGACATTCTAGGATATCCTCATCTCTTGGACTTTTTTGAACGTACTTTATTTTTAGTCTGAACAGATCAGCTTGCGGTGCTTCCCCTGTTACAATATGCTTTGGGTGAGCTTGCATGCCGTCTGATCCACCAGGGGGCAGAGCCATCCCTCCCTTCCACCACTAGGTCAATGTCGGCAGAAATTACAAGGACATCGTCTATGTTCTTGTTTCTCTTTTGTCCCTTGAAAAAATAGCCCAAGTGTTGGTTCTTTTTTGGGGGGATGGGGGGAGAACCATGTTGAAAAGTTGCACGGCTGCATTCAGCTCACATGCCCTTCATGTCCTAGGTTGTTGGCACTGACTTGGGAGCAGAATCCCCAACCTCTTGCTCTCCATAATTTTCCATTGCTCTAGAGAAGCAGTAGTCAGTTTCCAGAGGTCTAGGAGCTGTACAGGCTTACCATTAAAACTTGAAGGGCTCTATATACTTTACCATTTCCCATCATCCCCTCCCCCCAAAAAAATGTCTGAATGGCTCATATTACCACTGCTAGAGATCTTAAAAGGGAAACCTTTTGGACTTCAACTTATAGAACCTTTCTGCCAATATGGGTATCTTGAACAATAACACCATACCACCCTATACATGCCATTCTGGTTTGATTTTGAACATTAAGTCAAGACAGGACATGCACAGGGCTTAGACAGGAACGGGGATGATTGCCAGCCGGCGTCCATCACAGTTGGTAACACTGGGTCCTGCAAAGCAGAAGGATGTCATATATTTTAAATAACTATTATTAATAATAGTTAACATGGAGGAGAAGGAGGAGGCAGCACGTTATTTCTACTATCCTCCTATGGTTTCCACTTTGCAGAAAGAATGCAAGAAAATCAGACACAGTTTCAGAGACAGCCCCAGTCCAGAAGGACGGCTGCTTTGTCTCCCTTCCATGCTGACCAGTTTCCTTGGAAGAGCCTGAAAAAGTCCCTTTTTTACTACGATCTCCAAATCCCCTGGGGCCTTGTTATCTGGGAGACGTCATCTGAAAAGGAACTGTCCCGAATTCTGGTTTGGAGCAGGTTCCAAATTATCCTTGTCCACAGGGCTCAGTACCCAAGAAGAATGGTGCTGAGCAATGAAATGGCTTGGTCAGCAAGAAGCTGTGATCCCAAAGCCCTTTGCTCTGCCATTCCCTCCTTAGCAGTTGCTTACACTGCTGTTCCAGCTGCGTTGTGTAACCATCTTGTTCAAGGAAGCACACTTGTTAAAAAGTAACTATTGCCAGAGGGAGGGGGCACAAGGATTCATTGTGCGGGACTTGTGTTTCCAAAAGGAGGTTTCATCTTGAAATGCACGGACAGTTGGACATGCTAAAGCTCATCCACCCTTTATACTATCCTCCTGCAGCAAGACCTCTTCCGGATGAGATGGTCTACATCTCCCATCATCCTTCATGCTGCATGTGAATACCGAGAATTGAAGTCTCATTAGGGGAAGGCTGGGGCATATTAACAACAACCACAGTTCTTAGGTAGATGATATTGTACTAGCTGTGCAGAAGAAAAAAATATCAGCAGGCCAAGGGGAAGCTTCATGTTTGCATAAACAAACAAGCAATTTTTTAAATTTTAATTTAAAAACTATAGCAGGAACATCCATTCCTGA